TTAGAGGAAGTCTTGATAAATTTGTAAAGAAATGACAAGACAAAGCACAGTAAGTTGTGGGGAGTGACAAGGAGATACTTTGGGGGGCAGGGGACAAAACTAGTGGAAGAACAGGATTATTTAGGAATTGTTTGCATAGATGCGTTCGGTATTGACTCCCAGCCTCTGTTGGTCAGGATGCTCTCTTGCTGGATCCTTTCTCAAGGGAGAACACCTTTCTCAGGGAAATTTTATGACCTGCTTCTGGAAAGGGGATGTTAGAGAGCCCTTCCTGCATCTGCTGCTTCTCAAGTGCCTGCAGCTCAAAACAACCAATATGCCACAGTCGCTTACTTTGGGGGAGTGTGTCCCAAATCCCTGCAGCCTCAGCGAATAGTAGAATGTCTTAGGAACAAAACTGAGGTTTCTGCGGAAGAAGGAATGCTGCATTTAGACTGTGACACAGTGTGTGTGTGTGTGTGTGTGTGTGTGTGTGTGTGTGTGTGTTTACGTGGGGTGGAGGGCTTAAACTCTGTTCTGTTTCTCTGGGGACCTCAGACTGATACACGGACCCATCTTATAGACCCACCCACCATCTCCTAGCATATCTTTCTCATGCCTTTTTCCCTTCTTTGCAATTATTATTATTATTATTATAGAAAGTGGTTAGTTTCATTACAGGAAGTGAATAGAGAGTCAAGACGGTGTTAATTGTCATCAGGGTAGGTGGAAGTAAAAGGCCTTACTTAGCATGGCACCAATATATTTCTTTTCACATTCGTCTATTGTGATGTCCCTTGAACCAGGTAAGGGATTGATTTCCAAGCTCACAAAAGCTGGAGCGGGTCTCTAAGTAATTCCCAACTTTCTCAAACCACTGAAGAGCTTTCCACAGTCAACCATCTCCCTACTGCTGGACACTTCGATCCTTCCCATATTTTTGCTCTTACAGACAATATGTAACTTTAGAAAGGCTCATCTAGGTTTCCCTGCTGACTCGCAGGTCAGAGGGCCTGCTTATCTAAACTTCTCAACGTCCACAGAGCTGGCACGTTGCCGTCCCGTGGCCGTCCTGTGATCTGTCTCTCCAGCAGGCAGAAGAGGGCCGTGTTCCAGCACCTGAGGACATCTGAAAGGATCAGTCACTGCTGTTTATTGTGGATCTGCTAAGTGAGAACGGATGGGCCATGTTCTTCTCATTTCCTGATCTCAGGGAGGCTCACTGTCTCCCATGGCTTCATCTACTATTTGTATTTTCTCTTCACAAACTGTAGTCTTATATCCTTAGTTTATCTCTCTGAAGTGATTTATCTTTTCCTCCTTAATAGGT